GTAGAAAAAAATTGTACGTGTGTCTAAAAACTATAGGTACTGGGGGTACTTATAATTTTTTTGAAAAAGGGGTACTTTATGAAAAAAAGGTTGAGAAACACTGATCTACTCCAATCACCTGCTTAAAGCAGGACCAAATCCAATTAAATCATTCCATACTGTTCTGGCCACTTGAAGCAGTAAATGAAAAAAATGGGAGTCATAGAAAGATACAATATTAAAGAGGAGACAGGAAACAGAGAGTTAAAAAGAAAGTTTATCTAAATGTAGTTGCGATCATTCACTCCGTTTTACTTTTCTCCCACTATAGTAATACAGCACTGCTTTTTTCTCCACCCATATTCCCCACAGATAAAAAATAGCTGTAATGTTAACCTACTAAACCCACAGGTTTAGTTAATTCGAACTAACGGCCGTTAGTTCGAATTAACTAAACCTGTGGGTTTAGTAGGTTAACATTACAGCTATTTTTTATCTGTGGGGAATATGGGTGGAGAAAAAAGCAGTGCTGTATTACTATAGTGGGAGAAAAATAAAACGGAGTGAATGATCGCAACTACATTTAGATAAACTTTCTTTTTAACTCTCTGTTTCCTGTCTCCTCTTTAATATTGTATCTTTCTATGACTCCCATTTTTTTCATTTACTGCTTCAAGTGGCCAGAACAGTATGGAATGATTTAATTGGATTTGGTCCTGCTTTAAGCAGGTGATTGGAGTAGATCAGTGTTTCTCAACCTTTTTTTTATAAAGTACCCCTTTTTCAAAAAAATTATAAGTACCCCCAGTACCTACAGTTTTTAGACACAAAATTTTTTTTTCTACCATTGCAACACATTTGTTTAAACAACTTAATCGTAGCTGGTCGGGCGATTAAATTTTTGGATGTAAAAAGTACAAAAATAATAAGGAACTGTAAAACTTAAAACAAAAATTCAGTTTCCTCCAAATTTCAGTTGTGTCAATGTACCTCCCAGACTTCTCTCGAGTACCCCTAAGGGTACTTGTACCACTGGTTGAGAAACACTGGACTAGATGATCTCTTGAGGCCTCTTCATCCTAATCTTCTATGATTCTGTGAGTAGCACCAAAAGAGTTAAAGATCTTCTCCAGTTCAGTAGTCTTAAGACATTTTTGAACCATGATTTGTCAATGACAAAAGCGCCCATTGATTTCAATTGAATCAGGTTATGGCCCGTCTTCTGCTACATAGTCACCACAGAGTCATACCCCTTTTAGCTATAACAGACAGCAATAGTGATTTTTATTCTCCTCCCTCCCAGATGCTCACTGGACTAGGCAAAACTCCTGTGGCCATGGTAATTAGCTTGACAGAATTTCCATATGTAAGTAAAGTAACTCCTTTAAAAGTTCTTAACATTTATTGTGCAAAGAAAGGAGTGCTACATCCGTTCTTTACTTTGGGGCATGGTTCAGTACAGGCCAGACTTAGAGTTCATCTTAGGGATGTGAAAGATGAACTGGTTAACAGGTGATGCTTACTGCCTTCGGGTAACAGGTGGGGGCTGGAGCATCTCCCCATATGTTGGCTTCCCCCTTCCAGCTCCCTCCTCCCAGGTTTCCCCCTCCCCTCTTCCACCCTCTCTCTTCCCCTCTCCCACCTCCTTTTTCCAGTCTCCCCAGAGATTAATCTCCCTCCCCCCCCCCTCAGTTTTGTTAAATAAAGAGAGTTTCTAGTTTTGAACACACGTGTCCTTTATTTTTTACATCAGGAAGGGGGGGCTAGGGAGGGGTAAGTGGAAAGAGGTAAGGGAGGAATGGGGTACAAGCCCCTGATGGGGAAGACTGGGGTGGCTCTGCGGGCTCCTCAGGGTGGAAGCCCTCCTGCAGCCCTCCGATTGACCCCCCCAGGGGGCAGTCTGCAGCAAGTGCAGCCGGGCTGATGGCTGAGTGCTGTGATGTGCCGAGTGTAGACATTCAGGGCACTCCAAGACAGGACTGCTTTGCTGTCCCTCATCGAGGTAGACAAGGAAGCGAGGAACCCCTGAGAACTATCTGTCCAGGGTGGGGGTTTGGTCCCTTTAAGCACAGCCGTCGGCTAGCCTGAGACAGCAGCTCCATACTCTTAAGTCCTAATCTGATGCCCTGCCGGCACTGCTTCCGGCCAGACTTAACCCCGGTTCAGGGTCCACTCAATGTGGACATGCTAGTTCGAATTAGCAAAACACTAATTCGAACTTGTTTTTAGGTCTAGATGCACTAATTCGAATTATCTTAGTTCGAATTAACTAATTCGAATTAAGTTAGTTCGAATTAGCGCTGTAGTGTAGACATACCCACAGAGACTAAATGCAGGTTGAACCTTTCAAATCTGGGACTCCCTGGTTCGGCAACATCCACAGTCTAGCAGGACCATGGATGTTGTTGGACCAAAGAGCCCCAGAAGCCAGGAGCAAGAGCCAGCCAGGAGTCCCATGGAGGCTGGGCCAGCAGCAGCTAGGCCAGCAGGAGAGTGCTGGCCCATTGAGACTTGGCAGCAGGGGCGGCCTGGCAGCCCTAGCCAAGTGAGGGAACGCCCAGCAGCAATGGAGCTGGCAGCAGCCAAGCAGCCCTAGCCCTAGCCCTAGCCCTAGCCAGGGAACCATGAATGGTGGTGGGACTGGGGGTGGCTGGGCAGCCCTGGCCAGGGACCCCAGGGGAACTCCCAGCAGCAGCGAGGCTGGCGGAAGCTGGGTAGTGCTAGCCCCAGTCAGGGAACACCTGGCAGTTGTGGAGCCAGCAGCAGCTGGGCAGTCTCAGCAGAGAACTTTGGGAAACTCCAAATGGTAGCAGGGCCAGCAACAGGGCTGAGAGCCCCAGTCTTGGGCGACTCAGAGCCCACAGTAGCCTGGGAGCATTGACCAACTCTGGTCTGGCAAACTCTCTGGTTTGGAACTGCTCAGGTCCCAGGGGTGCTGGACCAAGGAGGTTCAACCTGTATAAGGAAAGTCTACATGAGTTAAGCTAGTTAGTTGTAAGAGGAATTTTGTATTAGAGCAGTTCACTGCCAATTCAATAATTGAAAAAGTTTCATTTTGGGTCAAACAAAAAACAACTTTTAAAAATATTTTGGGCAAATTAAAAAGTAAAACAAAAATAGAAATGACTCAGAGTATAATGTTTTATTTTGGCATTACTGAAATATTTTGACTTTTCAGTCTGATCAAAACTATTCAGTGAACTCAACAATTCACTGAACCCCACAACCTTCCTACATTCTGGGCCCCCTTATCCTCCCTTTGTTCCAAGGGTGCCAGCTCCGTCCCACGGGTACCTGGGACGGAGAGCAGCCCGGGAGCAGGGCCAGTGGCCAGCAGGGGAGCAACTAGTTTCAGATCATCCAAAACCATTTTTCAGAAAATATACTACTGACTGACCAAATTTCATGCAGTTCTAATTTGGATTAATTCTAGGAATGGGGATTTCAGTGTGAATGATCAATCTGTCCTCAAAAGCATCACCAGAATGTTTTTATTTAGAATGGTGACCTACTTCTGGTAACTCTCAAACTACAGTGTGCCATTACTCAACAGGCCAACAAAAACAGTTACACAAGATCCTACATGCTATCAGAATAAAGTTGTAACACCAAATAAGTCATAAGTTGCAGGTATGCCAATACAAAATGATCAAACTCAGATTTACAATGCATAGGTATAAATGTTATAAAAAACTACAAATGGTCTGGTAGCACTTTACAGAAAAACTGTAACTTCTTCTGTAACACAGTTGCCATCTGCTGAAAACTCTAAAAACTGCCTATTAAAAAGTAACAAAATATTTGGAACATGCAATGTAGTGAACATATAAAGTTGTAGAACTATCAGAGGAGAATGAGTGATTTCTGAAAACTGAAATAATATGGAGAACTTGAAGATTTTAAACATTCCTCCTGCTGTTACTTCAGAATGAAGTAAAATAGGGAGCCTCCTTAGTTTGGTGATAGAAATGTAGCCGTGTTAGTCTGGGGTAGCTGAAGCAAAATGCAGGACAATGTAGCACTCAGAAGTGGGTCTGGCTCACGAAAGCTCATCATCTAATAAACCATCTTGTTAGTCTTTAAAGTGCTACATTGTCCTGCATTTTCCTTAGTTTGGGGATTTCTAACATTTAATAGGTAATCGTTATTAAATTCCAGTTCTGTTCTTTCAGCCAGAAATTGAAGCTGAAACACAGATTTCTTTCAACCTGAAAGATCAAGAACCAGGGAGAAAAGTAAACAGTGCCAGCAACTTAAAGTTAAGTAGGATTTGTTTCATTCATATCCAGAATAACATTTTCAACAGCCTCCATTTCATGATTCAGATTGGCTTATGTAAATGATGTAGAGCAACTGAAGTTAGAAGTCGCTCGCACTTTGCCTGGAACGGTCCAGAATACGTCTGGGTTTAAAACGAAGTACATCGTTATATAATCCCATCGAAATTTAAGATCTATGTAGTATCTGAATGTACGAGTGTGTCAATATCGCTTGCCTAGTAGAATACACATCGTGAAAAGGTCATAAACGAGGGGGCCTAGCCCCTAGTTCCTTGCTGTGCTCTTCTCTTTGTCTTTCAGCAGAGGAACCTTTAAAAAAGTTAAGGATGTCGATTAGTCCTCAAAGCAATCCTCAGAGGTGATACCCAGAGCCAAGACTAGTACACAGGATGAAACAAAACTCCTTGCTCTTTCTTTGCTCTAACCACTGGTGTACTGATTAGTCAGGGGTGACTTGAAAGCTTTTGTACGAAGGCGAGAAGGCAAGACATTACTATAGCGTAAGGGAGGCAGTTGCTCCACGCAGCCCCTTCCCGCTGAGGAGGCAATGCTGCACACCCAGCAGACAGCAGCCCACCAAGATTTAAAAACAAATACTTTGGGGGCTGCAAGGGAACGCCGTTCCCGCTGCTCAGAGGCTGGCATCTGCTTGGAGGCAGGCACGGGCTGATTTCTTCTCTCTCCCGCAGCAGTCGGTACGAAGTTAAACCCACGTTAACAGACCCTTTAGCAACCCCTTACCTAGCTCGGGCTGTGCCTTTGCAATGTCTTCCTCCCGCTTGCTTACTTTCTTAAACTTGACCTGAGGCCACTCTGCGGCTGTTCCGTGGGACTTCAATCGCCTCCGCTGCCCGACCGTGCGCCGAGTCCCCGAACCCACCCCCTTCCCCAGGCCCTCCTGTGCAGCACGCATAGAACGTCTCCGCTTTCTGCAGAGGATGCGGGCTCCCTCCCCAGCGCAGCTGCCCAGCTGTGCTAGGCGCTACACTCCAGCGCTGCCTCCTCCCGCCCCTCGCCTTTCATTGGTCGCGCGGCCTTCCCGGCGCCGTCTCGTGGGCTGCAGGCGCTGTCAGTCAGGCAGCTCCCGGCTCCGCGTGCAGGGGGCCAGCGCGC